AATTTTCCCCATAATCTCAGCAATCTAACCCGGAGTACTGACAGTTGATTCCGAACATGAAGGACTGAGACAGATTGAACGGACATTATCGTCGGAGTGGAAGGGCAGTGTGAGTTTTGGTTGCGGAGGTTCTGTTAGGAGTTATATATGGTGGTTACCTCCATGAACCAGTTTTGAAAAAGGAAGCTGTGTACAGGGGGTGGTTGAAAAAAAAATCAAAGGGCCGCCAATTATATTTAACTGCCGAAGTTTTTTACGTTTGATTTTGATTTTGATTGTTTGATTGGTAACCGCCAAATTTATACCATTGCATTCCTAAAGGAATACAACGCCAACTCAAAACCAGTGGTGTAATTTTGGGCTGGTGATAGAGGCCCATTAGTCCAGACTTAAACCATAGCAGACCGATATATTGTAATTCAATGAAAGGCCCAATCGAAATTGTATCTCCTTTATCAATTCAATGGAAGGCCCAACTGAATTCCCTTTTCTTTTATTAACCCAACATCAAACATCACAATGTTTGGATCAGAAAAACAAAGGAAAAAGAAAAACCCCCAAAACAAAAAACCACCAAAACGTTTCCGCTCCCTTCTTCCCTTCCACACCTCTGTTCTGTTTTCGACGAAAACAGCAAACGAAGACCGGCGTGATTGCATGGACGCCTTTTCCTATCCTCCTGTCTGCCTGTGCGACATTATTCTCATCTCCAGGAGTTGATTTCCAAACCCTACCTCGCAACAATCTTTTCTTTCCTCTCATCAACACCAGCAAAGATTTTTTTCCCAGCTTTGACAAAATCCAATCGCCGGTGGACAGAACAATTCCAGATTATGTGAAGGTATACGCATCTAAACAGGTCTACGCCTGCTATCATTCAACTTCGTTTTCTCCCGATCTACTAAAATCTTAGATTTCAGAAAGATTTTCAGTTCCAGACTCCCAGCAAATACTTGCGAACTCCACAGGTGCGTTAGTTCCCATGTTTTCTGATACAATGTGGTTTCATCTATTTAAAATAATGGACATGTTTAGTTCTTATTGATTCGATTTTACCATAGCCTTGAAGCTGTTATAACTTTTATCTATTCAAAACTGACTAACTTTGAAGTGTCAGTTATAAACTAAATCTGGAAATCTACTTAGTTGTTGCCGACGTCTTTAGCTGACTATTACTTCATTGCTGTCTGCACAATTATTTTTACTTCCGAACACCCTTTCTGTTTGATTTTGGCCTGACCATAATGATGTTAATCAAACAGGGAAAAGAACTTTCTGTAAAACTAATATAGCGAAATGAAATAAAGAGGTTGGGAACTATGGTGAACTCTGAATATGAGTGACTTATAGCTATATCATTCAGCTACATATGTATAGAAAGATCTCTTTTCTGCCTTGATGTCTTTGTTTCTGATGCCTAAGATGTGTCTTTTCTTCTTTTGTAGATGATTATTTGATTAGTGTGGTCCCAATTGATATAATCGATAAGAGTCTCTTTGGTTTTTGTTCAATTGAAATACGAATTGGTTATTAATTCAACATTGCAAAAGTAATAAGCAGTGTGGTCCCAAACAACAAATAACATTGTTTGTTTTTATGATCCTAAAAATGGCAGCTACTTACTAAAATACAGAAGGAAATCAGTGTGACGTATATTTGAACATGGACATCATACCTCAATAGAACCCGTAAGTAATAGTTTTCCAACCAACTCATAATAAACCATATTCTTGTGTTCTCATAACTACTCAATGCAAATGCTAATGATCTAAATTATAGGTTTTTTTACTCTGGGAGATGATTTCATTACGAATCTAAATTATCTAAATGCCATAGCAATGTCCGAGACCGTTAAACTATAGATCTTATCCCAATGTAATTGAATGCTGATGATCAGGTAACTAAAATAAGATGCTTGTTATCTATCCTTCTCTATCTCTTATGTCATTGAGGAGCATCTCATTTGTTTATTTTTTTTTTTGAAATCCTTATCTTTTGCATTATATCAGGGTACTTCGTACATTTTCTCTAGCGTTGTAACAGAGTTGAGGAGATCTTGGTGTGATGCATCCAGGGTATATTTGATTCACTTGACCATTGAAGATGACATTACTGATGTTCAGGTCGTGTTCCCATCATCATACTTACGGAGAATCATTTCTTCTGTAGTCAGTCCTTCTGAGATTGACAATGCCGACTATGTTACACTTCTCAACTTGATCGGTGAAAAGTCATATGAGGTCATGGTCACAATCAGTCCTTGGAACAACGTGGAGAATTATTTTGATCTATTATTGGTTAAGTTGTTCCTGCCTTTAGATAACTAAGTAGTAATTGGGTATTATTAATATGATCTAATTAATGTTATTAATGGTCCACCTCTATGTAATCTATCCTGTTTCGTAGGCGTAATGTATATGTCAACGCTACTATATTTGGTAAGTTTATTATCCTTTTGAGGGGTGCTTGATGTAAAATATGAATTTAAATTAGTTATGGAAATTTGAACAAATTAGTATTAGTAGAGTTGACTTGATTGTTTTTGACAACAATGAAAGTAAATTCATTTGTTGGCACGTTGAGAACAACTTGATATTTGTTTTTTTTCTAGGATTTAAAATACCACAACACAGATATAAAAAGTTATGAGCTGTGCAATGATAAAGGATATGTAGAATCAGATAGATTGAGGGAAGACAAATTATAAAAAGATTACCATGGTCATAGGCGATTGCTGAAAGGCAAGCAATTCTTTCAAGAAGCAAGCTCATTTTCACATGTTGAATGGAATCGTCGGCATTTTTGGGAGTCGCCATCGATCTTACTTGGAGTGGATCGAACACTCTTCGGATCGGCTCTAACCTCAGGGTCAGAACCGGGATATGGTCTGCGAAAATGAAGTTTTGGGTTCGGGAGTACAGTTACGTATGGGGAAGTTAAGCAACACCTCCACAACGCCCTAAATCGGTACTACTTAAGTTGATAAGTTTAAATGCGTTGGGTGCGTTTTGGTAATAATTTTGTAATTTTGGGTCCCACTAGACCATTAAATAATTTTAATCATATTAGCTGTAATTTAATTATACGCCCACTGACGTAAAAATTTAAAGATAAAGTTAATTGGTTAGTTGGACTCGAACCTTATCGGTTGCCTACGTACCCGTTAGACGGGATCAAAGTCCACGTAGTTCGTTAATACTTTGATAATTTCTAAATTATTACCATGTTCCACTAAACGTAATTTTTGTTTTTAAAGATTTTGCTAATAAAACTTCATTTAGATTATTATGAGATTATGAAAATAATTGCAAGTATTTTAACGTATTGAAAAGAAAACGAGATGAACTTAATCCGCATTCTACATTTCGTATTAAGAACTTTAAACAAATAAAACCCAGCGAGGTGGCTTATTTACTGCATGATAGCAGCCCAACTGGTTAACTTCCTAACTCGTCAGTTGATTCCACGTGACGAGGGTTCGAAACCCAGCCACACTTTATTTTCTATCCGTCGTTTTTAATTCAGAGACGGGGAAAGGGCATTTTGGTGATTCAGGGAAACGCGGTGGCAGGGCATGTGATTTCAGCGAAACCCTAGGGGTAATCTAGTCTTTTTAATGAAAGGGGTATAAATTCATCTTTTTGGAAACCCTAAGCTAACTCCTAACCCTAAACGACCCTTTGGCCGCCGCTCTCTCCCTCTATCTCGATCCCTCTTTCTGCTCCTCTTCTCTTCTTCCGGAACCAGAAGACCACGCCAATCTCCTCCCTCTATCTCGATCCTTCTTGTCCCAAAATCGCCGCCATCTCCTCTCGACCCTCTCCTTGTCTTCTTCTCCTCCAGGGCAACAGAACCCTAACCGCTCTCTTCTCGCCTCGCCTCTCTCTTCTCTCTGCCCATCTTCCGCTAGAGACCGAAAAAAAACCACTCTGAGCAGAGCGCCGCCCTCTCCTCTTTCCTTCGCCTTCTCTCCCACTCGCCATCTGTAACATCCCAAACCTCGGTTAATTTGTAAATCAATTCGGTTTGATGAGGAATCAAGAATTTCAACCATACTCGAAGAAATTTTGTTCTCAAATAATGGTTTGAGAAAATAAAGAATATTCTGGAATGATGAACAAGAGAATTCGAACAAAACTTGACTCCATAAGTTAGAAAATTCTTTCACGATCACGTAGAATTTTACGGAAGTAAATTTGGATGCCGGAAGTAAATTTGGATGCCAAACGAGTGAGATATGACATTTTGAAGCCTAGACTTCGTTATTGAAATAACGTACGTGTCGACACTAATTTGGGCACATCTTCTTCGTTTGGAATCGAAACGACGAGCCGTTTGCGCTCACACGATCGTATCAACAAGGAGAGGTTTTATGAAGGAACAAATCCAGAATAGAGTATACCAATCAAGCCTCGTTTTTTTTATTGTCCATCGGTGTACAAATGAATGGAAAGAAAAGTTGCCATTATTATTATGGGAGGTGGGAGCTATCACCCCATTACTTTTGCAGGGGAGATGTAGGGAGAATTATTAGGGAGACAAGAGTAGAGATAAGTGGGCTCTCTCCACCTAATTTCTGCACTAAGTAAAGGCACGGTTGTAGAGCTTAAATGAAAGGAGGAAGAGTCTCATTTTGTGCAATCACTACACCACTACCATTACAGACCATCATATGCGAACCAAAGAGAGTGTGAGAAAGAAAGAAAGAAAAGAGGAAGAAGCCAGTCTTCTGTGGTCTGGGTTAGGGTAATATGGAGGTCCGGAAGCCAAATACGAAGTCAAAATCGCCATTGGAGGTTCGTAGAAGCTCATGGGAGGTTCGTCGGAAAGTTGCGTCGGCGGCCCCGGCGTCGTCGACTTCAACAAAACTCCAAAAGGCTGGTACCATGACGAAGAGGACGATCCCAGGAGCATCCCAGTTTCGACGAAATTAAATTTGGAGGTCTGTAGATACCTCGTCGGAGCTTCGCCGGAACGTCGCCGGAGTGTCGCCAGATTCTGGAAAAATAAACTTCAACAAAACTTCAAAAGATGAATATGGTTGCGAAGAGGGCGATCTCAGGAGCGTCACGGTGTCGACGAAATCGAATTCGGACGTCGGATGAGGGAGAACCGAGTCTCCCAAGTTTGAGGAAGAATATGTCAACCATCCAGGTACCATGTCTGGTAAATCGAAAAGTTAAAGGACCTCTCTGTAATTTTCCTACAGAGACGGGTCAACCTCTTTTAGTTGACTGGTAAATATCGTATTTAGTCCCTGGTACTTTGAGTACTAACGGAATTCGTATTTCGTTCATAATTCGTTCGTTTGACGTCCAAACGACGAACCGTTTTCACCTACAGGATCGTGAGAACGAGGAGAATATTTTGAAACCAAGATCTGGAATTTCCAGAGCTTTCACAGAATCGGATTTCGTCATAAATAAGGTGTGTGGGCTTACGGTAAAAGGGAACCGGAATTACGTGTTTATTTCTAAATACGCATGATTGAGTTGATGATTAATGATTATGATGGATTTGTGATTGGTTCATGGTTGTGATCTTGGATGAAATTATTGATGAAGTTAACTGATTGTTATGATAATAATTATTATTAATCTCGTATTGGAATTGTTGATGTATTTGGTGAACTCCGAATATTTTCTGAAAAGGTCTATTGAGATCAGAATAAGGAAAGGAAATTTGAGGAATCTTGAGACGACATTAGTCATGATATATTATCATGACAATGATTATATTGGTAATAATTGACTTTGCGGAATTAATTGAAGTTATGACGTTAAAAGGGTGAAATTGGGAATTTATAAATTGGATTAGTATATGAGAAGGAATTCTGGTCAGAATAATTACATCAAAGGATTTGTGATCTTTGTTGGATTTTTGGATGGATGAAACCGGTTTCTACGTGGTTTCGTTATTAAAGGGAACGTATTATGATTTTCAGAATAGTGGTGATTAAGAGAAAATTATTTAAACTAGAGTGTGAGTTCAAAGTGATTACCATGAGTAATTTTATCTTGGATTAAATTTGATTTACGGTTTAAGATTAATTTTGAGAAATGGTTAATTGAGTATTTAATTGAAATATGGAAAATAGTCTTATTAATGAATCATGACGAACTATGATTTAGTTTGTACTTTAAGAAATAATTATTGAGAAATGTGTTATTAGGGGAGACCTTTTCAAATGAACTTTTGATAATCATGAGAATTATATATATATATATATATGGGTATGGTCCTTAGAATGGTTTCAAGTGATTAATAGAAATTCATGAAGATGAGATTTTGATCATAATATATTTAGTTGCTATTTTGATATAATTAATTAATGGATGATATGGATAAACCGATGTATTTTAGATTATATGGTTCGTATGATAAAATGATTTATGATGAATGAAATATATATTGTTCATGGATATGTATGATTACGATATGATGATGATGATGATGATAGGGATATTGATTGCTAGTGATACGATTGATGTGTATGATTATGACGTGAGTAGAATATCGATTGGTATAAATGTGATTGGTAATTATAAATATTACTGAGATATTTTGTGATAATGTTGATATGATGAATGCTTTGATTAACGATGATGCGGATGAAATATTATCATGGTCGATTTGTATTTGATGTGTTAAATGATTACGATGAGTGAATGAGGTATTGATAAATTGAGTACTTGGTAGATTTATCAAGTTTGATTGAGGAGAATGAATTATTTATATCATTGAGAAGATGATGATTATATTGAGATCATGCAATGCATCAATGTATGCATAGATGATGTGAAATATGCATGGACGGGGAATATCAATGGGACGCTATTGATTTCTTGGATCGATTGAGATATGATGGAAGAGAGAAATTGATATTGTTTGATCATGTTAAATCACATAGACATAGAAGGGCCTATGCCTACCCCTATGAGATTGATTGGGCTGCGGTCCTAATGAAAGGATTTATGATAATCCTAGATTGGATGAGATTGTGGTTTTTGATATAACCACTAAGATGATGAGCTCGAGCGGGGTGGGCGTATGGTGACCTTAGCGCGCAAATTAATAATAAATGGAGAGTCTGCATTTCATGCATTGCATATGATATATATGATGGTGATGATTTCCATGAAGGAAATCGTGAAGTGATATTTGATTGATGATTGACGGAGAGATTGATATGGTTAATTCGAAATTGGTGATTTGATTATGGATGAATGATTGACATGCTTGATGCTTAAATGATGAGTTGACTTTGAATGAAGGATTGATATGATGAATTCATGAGTTGAGGTAAGTTTACGATTTTATGTCGATATACGACTTGATTAATGAAAGCCATACCATGAGGAATTGGGTTAAAGACGAATTTGGATTGATGACCTAGAAATAAATCTAGAGATTAATGAGATTTTTGTGTGGCATGATAATTTGTTGATGATGTGCTTTTAATCAACAAGATGTGATGATGTGTTGGCATGCTAACAATAGTTTTGCCGTATAGGCCAGGTCCACACACTCAGCTTAGTAGCTGACCCATTTTTCTTTCTAGATGTGACAGGTGTGATAAATTGAGGATGACTCTGGCACTGCACAATGATCGATGGAGGATTTTGGTTTAAAAGGTTTTTCACCTATTGGTGTATTCTAGAATCCTTATTTCACGATTCGGGTTTTGAGCATGCATGATAGTTTACAATGGTCAAGCATGATCATTAACTTGAGTTGAGTATGAATGGAGTACATAAGATTGATAGTCTGGGTTTGGTGAATCTTGAACTTGACGAAGAGGGATTAATGAATTGAGAATATGATTTTTAGTAAATTGTTATGATGAGTTGAATTTTAAACATGTGAGAATGATGTGGATGTAAGTTGAGTTGGTATTTTGAATACGTAAACCCCGAGTGATTTCCGCTGCGCGGTTGAACCATCGGTTCGACCCATGATTTTAGGGTGGGGCGTTACAAGTGGTATCAGAGCCCGGTTGTTTTCTGCATTATAGGTATGTTACTTTCACTCTTGAGAACTGATCACTCTCAAAAGAGGGGGAGTACTCCACACCCGTATTTGCACTAAACTTTCCAGGAGTTGAGACCAACCTGATGTTGTGATGCATAGTCAGAGTCCGTTGCATTTGGTCAAAATGATTTCGAGCATTTTTTAGAGAAACATTTGAAATGAAATCGATTTGAGAAGTCTTTTGAAGAAAGTCTTTTGACGAGTCATTTGAGATGAAAATTGAAAAGTGATTTCCTCCTCCAAGGAACCATCGATCTGTGCAGAAGGTGCCACATCCCAATTTGAGGGATGGAGTTTCCTGATTCAGGGGAAACAAGAGTTGAAAGAGTTAGTAGGAATTCTGCAAACCTTTAAGGATTGCGGATTTCATTTTGGGGTTTAGAATCCCAAGTTTCATGATATTAGTTGAGGTCAGAGAGACCCAATCTAATGATAACTTTTTGATACATTAGACTAAATACTGGACCGAGTGATAACGTGGATTGAGGAAAAATAAATTTCTCGAGGATTGATGGAACAAGATCGCTCAGCAGACTATTAAGTACGAGAATGAGTCAAGATGAGGAGACGTTAACTAGCATGCGGCGGAAATGACGACGGACGATCGACAACGAGATACGTCATCAAAATAATGATGTGAAAGGAGATAGATGACCAAAAGTTCAGGTCAATGTCTTAAAAGTCAGAGGCACCAATAGAGAGTAGATGTGATGGGCGAATAATGGACAAGTTGGGAGCTAGAATAAATGCAATGAGCCCGGAGCTAACTCATGACATGATCAACTTATGATCGGTATGAGTATGCTAAAGCACAAAAGAGACGTGCGATAGCAAGCACGTAGCCAAAATTTAGAGGCGATATAGATTAAACTCTAAAGTGACAAATTGGTGCTATATGTTATCGGATGGTAACTGACACTACGGGATTAGCATCATGAGCAAAAACGACGAAGCTCTAGATATACCCCCAAACCATGAACCAAATTCTTGATGAATAGACGGAGAGGATGGGAGGACGTGAAGGAAAATCCATCTCAAAGAATGAGAGTTTTCTTGAATACAATAAGGAGATGCCGAAGGACTGAGACTTGATGTTTCATCTGGAAGAGACAAGGTTCTATTGCGAACGATCATGTAAGCGATTGTGACAGGAGACAAGCAAGATGACAAATCGTTTAGTGACGCCATTTATGACGAATGGTTGAGGAGGAGATCATGGATTACATGAGAATAGATAACGCCTAGTTTTGATTTGGAAGCTAAGGAATGCTAATGCCTAAGGTTGTGGAGAATACTAGAATAGTTGAAAAGCGTCAAGAGGGACCAACAAAGCATAAGTGGGGGGAGCACACTGGACTACAAAAGTGTACCCCTCAAGATACATGATTAACCTAATGCTTATGGCAATAGGTTGACGTTATTCAATGGTCCCAATTCTCAAATCACCACAACCAAGTGATAGGAGACGTGAGAAAAAGAGAGGGTTGACCATCCTCAGTGCCTTAATTAGTATTCATGATGGAGTTGGTACGGAGGATGTGCACAACAAGTGACCAACACTTTGATTTCGGGGACGAAATCCAATTAAGAGGGGGAGAGTTGTAACATCCCAAACCTCGGTTAATTTGTAAATCAATTCGGTTTGATGAGGAATCAAGAATTTCAACCATACTCGAAGAAATTTCGTTCTCAAATAATGGTTTGAGAAAATAAAGAATATTCTGGAATGATGAACAAGAGAATTCGAACAAAACTTGACTCCATAAGTTAGAAAATTCTTTCACGATCACGTAGAATTTTACGGAAGTAAATTTGGATGCCGGAAGTAAATTTGGATGCCAAACGAGTGAGATATGACATTTTGAAGCCTAGACTTCGTTATTGAAATAACGTACGTGTCGACACTAATTTGGGCACATCTTCTTCGTTTGGAATCGAAACGACGAGCCGTTTGCGCTCACACGATCGTATCAACAAGGAGAGGTTTTATGAAGGAACAAATCCAGAATAGAGTATACCAATCAAGCCTCGTTTTTTTTATTGTCCATCGGTGTACAAATGAATGGAAAGAAAAGTTGCCATTATTATTATGGGAGGTGGGAGCTATCACCCCATTACTTTTGCAGGGGAGATGTAGGGAGAATTATTAGGGAGACAAGAGTAGAGATAAGTGGGCTCTCTCCACCTAATTTCTGCACTAAGTAAAGGCACGGTTGTAGAGCTTAAATGAAAGGAGGAAGAGTCTCATTTTGTGCAATCACTACACCACTACCATTACAGACCATCATATGCGAACCAAAGAGAGTGTGAGAAAGAAAGAAAGAAAAGAGGAAGAAGCCAGTCTTCTGTGGTCTGGGTTAGGGTAATATGGAGGTCCGGAAGCCAAATACGAAGTCAAAATCGCCATTGGAGGTTCGTAGAAGCTCATGGGAGGTTCGTCGGAAAGTTGCGTCGGCGGCCCCGGCGTCGTCGACTTCAACAAAACTCCAAAAGGCTGGTACCATGACGAAGAGGACGATCCCAGGAGCATCCCAGTTTCGACGAAATTAAATTTGGAGGTCTGTAGATACCTCGTCGGAGCTTCGCCGGAACGTCGCCGGAGTGTCGCCAGATTCTGGAAAAATAAACTTCAACAAAACTTCAAAAGATGAATATGGTTGCGAAGAGGGCGATCTCAGGAGCGTCACGGTGTCGACGAAATCGAATTCGGACGTCGGATGAGGGAGAACCGAGTCTCCCAAGTTTGAGGAAGAATAAGTCAACCATCCAGGTACCATGTCTGGTAAATCGAAAAGTTAAAGGACCTCTCTGTAATTTTCCTACAGAGACGGGTCAACCTCTTTTAGTTGACTGGTAAATATCGTATTTAGTCCCTGGTACTTTGAGTACTAACGGAATTCGTATTTCGTTCATAATTCGTTCGTTTGACGTCCAAACGACGAACCGTTTTCACCTACAGGATCGTGAGAACGAGGAGAATATTTTGAAACCAAGATCTGGAATTTCCAGAGCTTTCACAGAATCGGATTTCGTCATAAATAAGGTGTGTGGGCTTACGGTAAAAGGGAACCGGAATTACGTGTTTATTTCTAAATACGCATGATTGAGTTGATGATTAATGATTATGATGGATTTGTGATTGGTTCATGGTTGTGATCTTGGATGAAATTATTGATGAAGTTAACTGATTGTTATGATAATAATTATTATTAATCTCGTATTGGAATTGTTGATGTATTTGGTGAACTCCGAATATTTTCTGAAAAGGTCTATTGAGATCAGAATAAGGAAAGGAAATTTGAGAAATCTTGAGAAGACATTAGTCATGATATATTATCATGACAATGATTATATTGGTAATAATTGACTTTGCGGAATTAATTGAAGTTATGATGTTAAAAGGGTGAAATTGGAAATTTATAAATTGGATTAGTATATGAGAAGGAATTCTGGTCAGAATAATTACATCAAAGGATTTGTGATCTTTGTTGGATTTTTGGATGGATGAAATCGGTTTCTACGTGGTTTCGTTATTAAAGGGAACGTATTATGATTTTCAGAATAGTGGTGATTAAGAGAAAATTATTTAAACTAAAGCGTGAGTTCAAAGTGATTACCATGAGTAATTTTATCTTGGATTTAATTTGATTTACGTTTTATGATTAATTTTGAGAAATGGTTAATTGAGTATTTAATTGAAATATGGAAAATAGTCTTATTAATGAATCATGACGAACTATGATTTAGTTTGTACTTTAAGAAATAATTATTGAGAAATGTGTTATTAGGGGAGACCTTTTCAAATGAACTTTTGATAATCATGAGAATTATATATATATGGGTATGGTCCTTAGAATGGTTTCAAGTGATTAATAGAAATTCATGAAGATGAGATTTTGATCATAATATATTTAGTTGCTATTTTGATATAATTAATTAATGGATGATATGGATAAACCGATGTATTTTAGATTATATGGTTCGTATGATAAAATGTTTATGATGAATGAAATATATATTGTTCATGGATATGTATGATTACGATATGATGATGATGATGATGATAGGGATATTGATTGCTAGTGATACGATTGATGTGTATGATTATGACGTGAGTAGAATATCGATTGGTATAAATGTGATTGGTAATTATAAATATTACTGAGATATTTTGTGATAATGTTGATATGATGAATGCTTTGATTAACGATGATGCGGATGAAATATTATCATGGTCGATTTGTATTTGATGTGTTAAATGATTACGATGAGTGAATGAGGTATTGATAAATTGAGTACTTGGTAGATTTGTCACGTTTGGTTGAAGAGAATGAATTATTTATATCATTGAGAAGATGATGATTATATTGAGATCATGCAATGCATCAATGTATGCATAGATGATGTGAAATATGCATGGACGGGGAATATCAATGGGACGCTATTGATTTCTTGGATCGATTGAGATATGATGGAAGAGAGAAATTGATATTGTTTGATCATGTTAAATCACATAGACATAGAAGGGCCTATGCCTACCCCTATGAGATTGATTGGGCTGCGGTCCTAATGAAAGGATTTATGATAATCCTAGATTGGATGAGATTGTGGTTTTTGATATAACCACTAAGATGATGAGCTCGAGCGGGGTGGGCGTATGGTGACCTTAGCGCGCAAATTAATAATAAATGGAGAGTCTGCATTTCATGCATTGCATATGATATATATGATGGTGATGATTTCCATGAAGGAAATCGTGAAGTGATATTTGATTGATGATTGACGGAGAGATTGATATGGTTAATTCGAAATTGGTGATTTGATTATGGATGAATGATTGACATGCTTGATGCTTAAATGATGAGTTGACTTTGAATGAAGGATTGATATGATGAATTCATGAGTTGAGGTAAGTTTACGATTTTATGTCGATATACGACTTGATTAATGAAAGCCATACCATGAGGAATTGGGTTAAAGACGAATTTGGATTGATGACCTAGAAATAAATCTAGAGATTAATGAGATTTTTGTGTGGCATGATAATTTGTTGATGATGTGCTTTTAATCAACAAGATGTGATGATGTGTTGGCATGCTAACAATAGTTTTGCCGTATAGGCCAGGTCCACACACTCAGCTTAGTAGCTGACCCATTTTTCTTTCTAGATGTGACAGGTGTGATAAATTGAGGATGACTCTGGCACTGCACAATGATCGATGGAGGATTTTGGTTTAAAAGGTTTTTCACCTATTGGTGTATTCTAGAATCCTTATTTCACGATTCGGGTTTTGAGCATGCATGATAGTTTACAATGGTCAAGCATGATCATTAACTTGAGTTGAGTATGAATGGAGTACATAAGATTGATAGTCTGGGTTTGGTGAATCTTGAACTTGACGAAGAGGGATTAATGAATTGAGAATATGATTTTTAGTAAATTGTTATGATGAGTTGAATTTTAAACATGTGAGAATGATGTGGATGTAAGTTGAGTTGGTATTTTGAATACGTAAACCCCGAGTGATTTCCGCTGCGCGGTTGAACCATCGGTTCGACCCATGATTTTAGGGTGGGGCGTTACACCATCTCTGGAGAGTCCGGTTCCAGGTAAGGATCGAGCCATGCATGCTCTTCTCCCTTCGATTTTTGCCTCTTTTAAACGGATTAAAGGTTTCTAATTCATGCGTTCTTTTGTTTTCGGTGTGGAGGAAGGGCAAACGGCAGGAGATTGAGAGCGCCTTCCCTTTCGATTCAGGCAAGAGAACGACTGTAGCCTCCTTAAATCGATCAGAAACCGACGATCTAGGTAAGATCATCGGCATGCATTTTGATTTTCGGTTCGATTATGTCCTTTTGTGAAGTTTTGGTTTCTGATTTAGTTTTGTTTGTTTTTGGGTTTCGGATTTGGAAGAGGAGGAGAAGGAAGCAATGGGGTCGACAGGAGGATGAAGGAGACCATCAGCTTCGACCAGGCCGAGGGGAGATCGATGGTAGGCTCGGTTCTAATTCTTGTTTTTAGGTTTATGTGATTTATTTGATTTGTATTTTGGTTCTGATCTTATTTTATTCTCTTGCAGATTCTCTAGGATTGAAGAAACTAGTTGATATCCCTCTAAATCTAAATCTCTTTTGCTCGATCGGCTGCTAAGAACCTATGATTTAATTATTTAGCTAAAAAAATAGTTTTATTGGTATGCCTTGAAAATTAATTGTTTTGTTGGACATAGCTACTGCTCATGACCATCAGCTTGATGGGAAGCTTCTATATGAATTTGGGCCATAGCCACTGCTCATGACCATCGAATTGATGGGAAGCTTCAAATGTGGATTTGGGTTTTGATAAAAACGGGTTGATTTTAAAAGGTGATAGTTGGTTAAATCTTAAATTTGCAATAGTGTTGGGGCTTTTGTTGGATTGGGTTGAAAAACAAAACTAGATTAATACCCAGCAACCGCTTGTGTCAAATTAACTAAAAGAAAACTAAAGTTTTAGTAGGATTAATATGTTGGTATTCTTCCAAATCTGAGTTTAGATCTAAAGGATCTAAGAAGGGAGGAACTTAAACAAAAAGAGGTGTTTCAAAATACCTCCATGGGTTTGATCTGCTTATTTGTTACATAGCTAGGCTACTAAATCAAATAACATTGCAACCTTTACTAGAGAGAACTGAAAGATTAGATTTGATTACATGTATGCTTTAATAGACGTGTATAAGTTGGCTCACACAAGTAAGATAAAAAATAGTAGGCAAATCAGATTTGTCGTGTTTTATTCATGTAAGATGGAGAGAGTTCTATAAAGACAACAAACATATATGGTGCACATTCACAAATCTGTAGCCATCAAGCACAGACCATAAGCAAGCAAAGATCATTAAATTATGCTCTACTTTTAGTGGATTATTTGAGAAAAGCTTATGCCGATGTATGGATGTTAATTAAAGCTTCACTTGATTGAGATGGTAAAGAGAACAAAAGGAAGAAGACCAACCTGATTTCTGTAGTCTAATGGCTATGGCTTCTATCTGTCTGCCTTCATCGATCCCCCTTAATGCCAATCTCTATACTGAACTTTGTATCCAAGAAAAGTGGAAAGGAAGAAAATTGTTTCTGATTGTCTATTTCTGTGAATTCCCTACAATCGGTCCCCCCCTTTTCACTTTGTGGTAAAGCTACTCTTTATATCTGTCATTTTACTGTTCATTTGGGATTGGTGGCAGTTTTTGGTAAATGGATGGATTGGTGTTGGTTTTCTATTGGTTTCCAAGGGGTGTGGTGGCCGTTTACTCCTTTCAAGAAATGATAGTAATGATGGCTGGTCCTTTGGGATAAGATAAGGTTCATTGACCTGAGTTGACCGGAGTTGACTCTATGATTGGGCCTTTTGACTGGGTTAGGTCATGTTGACCAAGTATGGGCCAAAAGTCATGGGTCTGAATTAGGTTCATGATTTTCATTTGGGTTAAAACTAATCTTTTTTCTCTCTTTTATTTTTGCAGGTACACAATTTCTTTGGGCTCAAAGTAGGGGGGCGATGACTTCAATTTGTGGAGCCTAATCTATTTAACTTTGTAATTGTAATTATTTTTAATCCTTCCTTTATTTAGAGGCTTACTTACAATGTATCGAATTTGATAATAAAGTCTTTGTTTTGCCTCATTCACATTTCATCTATCGTACCCAAATCCAAACTCGAGCAACAAACTTTGCACTATGGTCATTTCTTCATCCAACTGAGAGTTGTTATTTAAGATTTCATTGATAATTTTAACTAAACCGATCCTATTGGTAATTATTGGTTCATATTGACTTGCTACTGCTAGTCTCAACCAAATCTACATCATAATCAAATAGAAGAGAATTTTGGAAAAAAAAATGGTACTTATTGACTCATTGTTAATTTCAACTAATTCTATCCGAACATTCACTTCAATTTTAAACTAGTTCTATCCAAACATTCACTTCAATTTTTAGCTTCTATGTTTTAAGTATAATGTCTGTCCCGGACAAAATGTGGTGTCTACACCAGCATAAACTCATCGACCTTAATCTTGAATACCCTTGCTATAATATCAGCATGGTTTGGATCTTTCCCAGAAAAATCTCGAATAATATCAACCATATTTTGTATCTCAGGCCAACTGGAGTTGCAGGTGAATGTAATAAACAAATCTGGATATCCCAACCATTTGCAAATCGCCATAGCATCCTGAAAATTTTCATACTTATATCTTGGACTACCTGTATGAGTTGCAGCCAAAATCACAGGCCTCCCTGACAATTTCAGATCATTATCACCACGCAAATAGGAATTTCACAACCCTTGGTAATGATGTCCTCTCAACCTTGATTGATTGTTTCTCATCCAATCTAAGCGTTCAGCCTCTATAAGAGCATAAGCATTAACAACATATTGTTGAAATGAATTTGCAGCAAGGAACAAAGAATTTGATTCAGCAAGCCTAGTCTGAAGTCGATAACAATAGTAATCACATTGAGTTATCATTCTCTCTCCTGCACCAGCCAAATCTGTGATTGCTGAGTATAAAATATCGGGATGCCATCCGTCCTCTCCATACGGGAACAAAACAGGATATTGTAACGCCATTAGACTGGGATGATATGGACTAATTCTCTCCATTTCAGTACTTCGATGTTGAACAATAATATCCAGTGAAAAAGTCTCTTCTCCTGTCTCATCAACAATCAATGCTGCTATCTCACCTGCCGAAGGTAAATCATATTCCGTACTATTGATTTCACGTTTTGCCAATAACTTCAACTGAAGCTCCTCCACACCATCCTCAAATATCCTGTCTCTTGCAGACCGAAAATGATGAACCAAAATATTATACGTATCAAACATTTCTTGCAAACCTTCAACAATAGAAGCACGTAATGGATTCTTCTCAGGATCAGATGAGTAGAAGCTCAATCGATTTTGTACCTCGTTGTCTGAATCGTGAATATACAACTGTGGAAATTTTGGACTCATCCCTTCAGGAGGAACCAAACTTCCAATTCGATGATAAATTTGACCACCAATTGAGTAAACATAAACACCTCGGCCGTCATTAATGGAGTGGTTGACTTTACCACCAATAGATATGAAACAAAACACTCCATTATATCCTCGACTATTAGTACGGAAATGACGCGCTTCTGGGTATCACCTTCAAGTAACATTTTCAGGAATCGAGGAGGATGCCTACGAACAGGGAGTTTGACCATCCCATTTCTGCAACACAATGAAAATGAAGGTGTGGAATAATTTCTTGTAGATGAAGTGCTCTCCAATCGCCACATGAGAGCTCCACAATGCTGACAGGTACATGATGACAGACCAATATCAAAATATTCAACAACAGGGATACTTATAATAAATTATAAAAAAGGGATAACTATAAGCACAAAAATACTTAGATTAATACTAAGAAATTAGACCATACCAATAAAATAATAATTAGTAATAAAATATGCTACTTCCATGCTTTACCAATGCCATATGAATAACCCCTACGAATAAAAAGAATTGTATGTAAATGCATCATGTTTCACTGGTAGAGGGGGATAAACCCCATGACAATGCAAACTCATACAGATGAGGAACTACAAATTTGGATTTTGCGACACAAACTCATACAGATGAAGAACTAAAAATTTGGATTCTGCGACAAAATCTCATACAGATGAGTAACTATATATAGATACAAAATTACAATACAACAATCAAAGTCATGCAAATACATAGTAGCCTAACTAATAGATAAAAATGACAATTTGGAGTATAGATACATTTATACAATTCCATCTCAACAATTATAAAAAGCTCCCCTCCTAAATACAACATACATAGCTTTCTTTGAGTCTGAAAGTAGGTTCTTCCCAAACGTTTTCTATGCAAGTGAATGTGGCGCATTAGTCTACTACGTTTGCCCAAAAGCGTGGCAAACTCCATTTCAACACCAGTACAACCTGAAAAATTACCAAACCGACTGTACTGAGCATATAAATAAATACAAAACTATCTTTACAGAGAAACAAAGATAAACACTTTTACAAATGGCTACCTTTACCTTCAACAACAGATCGCCTCCTACGTCTCTTATCTTGAAGAATAAGGAGCCTTCTTCGTCGAGTAGTTTGGGACAACTTTCTGGAAATGGACATGAGTTCGTAGTGCAACCGTTTCTTTACTACACACCCACATACAAATTAAAACTATAAGCACAAATCACATCAAGGTATCCTCACAATGTAATTGGATATGACCATATGTACCTTTGTCATAAACTTCTTCATCTTCTACGGACATGACAAACCTTTGATAAGTGTCTTCTGGATTATAAAAGATGGCTCTCCCTTTCCCTGCATTACAACCACATTAGAAAAGCACATAATAAGGCTCCCAAATTCAACTACACTACAGTTAAATATACACAAACACACAAGGGGCAGATGGTCTATTCTGTTGTGGTTGGCCAGAGGAAGCAAAACGTGGTGTGTGGCAATTCTGTTCACCTAGAAAATCAGCAAATACAATACACCGAGCACTCCCATTTACAAACATTCTAACTGGCAATAGTACTGATTACTATTAAACAAATACCTTCTTCAAGAGATGTATCAGTTTGTATGCGTAAAGGTTGGGTACTTGACTCCCCATAATGACATTCAATAACGGTCATATTAACAAAGGGCAGCAACATTTATAGCATGCGAGAAGTCCACACAATAAGCTTTAAAACTGGACAGATAATGAGATCCTAGTTGGGCAAAACGAAATAGAAGTCAGGACACAAAACCAAATGCAGCAGCTTCCAAAAAAAAAAAAACAACGCCAAACCACCAGATGGTTTCATACACTACAATCAGAGGTTCATGCCAATTCAACATTGACCATCAATTTTCTCAGGTAGTTTTGTGTTAGGCCAAAAAATATGAAGCGGGGGTATCCAATTACCAAGTGCATGAGATAGATTGGACACATACATCTGAAGTGGGTGTGCTGCTGCTGTTTTCTTGGAGCGGTGACTACACAATCACCAACATTCAACGCACCCAGCGGAGAATTAGAAAGAGCGGCAACCATCGCCAAAATCAAAATGAGGGTAACCTAATGAAGAGAACTTACAGAGGCAGGGCGATTCATTAATCTCGCCAACTGGGATGTGAAAAATTCGTCCGGCAGGGAGAGATGCAGCAGAAGGATCGGACGCGCAAATCCAGCTCCTCGAGAGAATTAGAAACTTGTGATAAAACACACAGCCTTTTGGGTTATCTCCTATCTCTAGACCTCTTTGAAATTCACTTCTAGGATCAGAAAATTCCGCCGGAATATAGTTCCTCGCGATAACCCCGAAGAACACAGCAGACCCTCTTCTCTATCGATTATCTACCGTCTCTGAATGTGCTCTGCAACGCTGCAAGGAATGAGGAAAGTCGCCTTTGTCCAATATATTGGGCCATGGAAAGTACATCAGCCCATTGAAGGAAAAGGGCAAAGAAGTCCGATTTCTTCTCACTCAGCCAAAATTTCCGCCTGCCAACATTACCCTCCCGCAAAACGCTCTGAGCGTCCGAATTTTGAAATGGGGTGTGGGTTTTTGGATACCAGCTTTTACAATATGTGTGGAGATAAGCACTTTCTAAATTAATTAATTTCATCCGCTATGTCCCTTTCTCGCAAAACTCGATCTCCGCTTCACTATGTTGAATACTCTGGAACTGAGTTGATGCGCACGACCATTTGATGGATCGCCGGTGGTATGTCAATGACTCCTCTCCGCCGCCAACCACTGACAACTTCAAGCACACCAACCGCTGCCGCCAAAAAATCGGTCGGGACTCCTCTCCTTCGCCAATATCCCCAGCTTCCGATCGCGGAAATACATAACCATTTTGCATCACTATTACTTGGTCTGGCCAATTATGGGGTCGGAGCTTCTACGCTAGCGGCGGTGCCAACGTGATTTGGAATTTAGTTTTTTTTCCTTGGCCGAGTTGTGTTATGTAGCGTCGGTGAGGAGTCCCGACCAAAGAAGAAGATGGGGTGGGCGTTGGATTTGGGAAGACGAAACTGATAGAATCGAAGTACAGCAGAAGAACAATTGCAGAGAAGAGTTGAGAAGAGTTGTAGAGATGGAGAATCCAGGTTGCAGAAGGATTCCCATAACAGAGGAGACAAAAGGAAGAAACGACAGCGTGTTGGCTTGACGACACTGTTTAGCTTATTTGGTATTAGCCGTTAAACGTTACTGTTAGTTTGATTTTGGACCAATCTTGTAAAGACATTTGTTGAGTTTTTGTTAATCGCATTTCCAGCTATATAAGCTGAAGGAAGACTCAGAGTTAGCTGAGCTTCTTCTCCAATCCTTCTTCTAAAATCGTTATGGTATCAGAGCAACGTGAGCTGTAGGGTTTCTCAGCTTCAACTAGCGACATGATGTTTGGACAAAACCCACAGCCGCAAACTCCCAATTCCAGTGGTGGAAGTGGCAATGCATCGCATCTCCGATTCGGTTCATTTGGGAAGCAACAAGGACAACCAAAGACTATTACATTCGGTAATCCCTACTATCTCAACCCGAATGAGAAAATGAGTCAATCTCTTGTTGCTGAACCCTTTGATGGGACGAGTTATGTGATATGGAGTCGATGTATGCAAGTGGTTTTGAAAACAAAGAACAAGGTTGGTTTTATTGATGGATCTGTACCAGTACCCCCTAGGGATGCAGATCTATTTGGTTTATGGGATGCCTGCAACACTGTTGTTCTCTGTTGGATCCAAAACTCCATGACTAAGGAACTTAGGAGGTCGATTCTGAACCATAGTAACTCTAAAACGCTGTGGGATGAACTCAAAAGACGTTTTGGTCAACCTAACGCCCTGAGAATTGCCAATTTGGAGGACGAAATTCAGGCTTGTAAACAGGGATCTAAGACTATTAGTCCGTACTACACTAACTTTAAGGGTATGTGGGATGAATATGTTGAGTTCAGTCCTATAGTCCCTTGCACTTGTGCTCCTGGCAACCCTCTTCCATGTGCAGTTGTTGCTGCCTTTGTGCAGAAGTAGGAAACAGATTACTTGATTAGATTTCTTCGAGGTTTTAACCCTGAATTTGAGGTCATCAAGACACAACTCCTTATGAAAAAACCTCTACCAAGTGTCTCATCAGCTGTTGATGATCTTTTACAACACGAGCAAAAGCTTAAAGCAGATGCAGCCATGGGAGGAAAGAAAATCAGACTCTAGCTTTAGTAGTTGGTGGAAATAACCAGAAGGAATCAAATTAAGGAAAGGGAATGAAGAATTTTTGTTTCTGCATATGAACAACCACACTATTGAAGACTGTTGGAAGCTGAAGAGGAAACAGGAAATGCATAAAAAGGTGGTGGTAATGGAGGTTCTAATTCCAGTTCCAGTTCTAGCTCCAGCACACCATGTTTTGCTGGTTCTATCTCACAAGGAAGTGGATATGACTTTCCATCAGAAGAAGTGTGACTAATGAAGGTAAAGTTCTAGCTTTACTTGACTTTACCCAGAGGAAATGAATCGTCTCATGTTCCTTTTGCAAGCTGGTGCTAATACCCATCATTCACCACCAAACTCACATTCCATTAACCACCAAGCCTACTCTGCCACTCAGTTTCCACCCACTTACCCAAACTTTTCAGGTAACTATGTCATGTCCTTTTCTCACAAGTCTAGAACCACTTATTTAAGCTTATGGATAATAGACGCAGGAGCCTCTGACCATATTGCATGTAGCCTCATATCCTTCTGTAGCTATAGGCCTGTGCATGATACCTATGTCTATCTCCCCAACAGAAATAAGGTTTTAGTCACTTATGTAGGCAAAGTTCAATTATCATGTGGTTTAACACTTCATGATGTTCTCCTAGTGCCTAATTTCTCTTTTAATCTCAACTCTGTCAGTAAACTCACACATGAAATCCTTTTTCATTACATTTCCACTCTGATAAATGTGAAATTCATGACCTCATAAGCCAGAAGATGATTGGCTTAACCCACACCACTAGAGGCCTTTATCAACTAGGCCAACCTTTGCTATCAGACATCACTAAGCCTACTACACCACCTCATCGGCAATACCAAGCAGCTCTTACCTTCAACTTCAATCCACATGCCTTAAACATGTGGAACTGGAGATTAGGGCGTCCTAGTCATGATAGACTTTCCCTTCTTAGCAATGTTATTCCTTCTGTAACCAGTACCAAAACTTCCCACTGTGAAGTCTATCACTTGTCTAAATAGAGAAAGTTGCCATTTCCCATTAGCACCAGTGTTGCATCTGAGATATTTCATTTAATGCATATGGATATTTGGGGGACCTTTGTCCACTGTTTCTTATGATGGTTATAGCTACTTCCTTACTATTGTGGATGATTGTTCTAGAAGTGTTTGGGTTTATTTGATGAACATAAGAGTGAAGTTAGGGGGTTGATACAAGGTTTCTTTAATTTGGTGAAAAACCAATTTAATACCACTGTTAAAATCATCAGGATAGATAAGGGTAATGAAATTGAGATGTGTGAATTCTTTGCAGCAGAGGGGATAGAACACTAGGGTTCTTGTGTCGAGACACCAAAATAGAATGGTAGGATGGAGAGAAAGCATCAACACATTCTTAATGTAGCTAGATGTTTAAGGTTTCAATCTGGTTTGCCTCTTCTCTAATGGAGTTATATCATACTCCATACAGTGTATCTCATCAATAGGATTCCTACTCCTCTTCTTGATAAAATGACACCCTATGAAGTCTTGTTTAACCAAGTTCCATTTCTGGAACATTTGAAAGTGTTTGGCATCTTATGCTATGCCAACACTTTAGCTCATGGTCGAACCAAGTTTGCCCCTCGGGCAAGGCAATGTGTTTTCTTTAGGAATCCCAGCTGGGATTAAGGGCTACAAAGTCCTAGATATACATGAAAGGAGAGTGTTCATCTCTCGAGATGTCTCCTTCCATGAAACCATTTTACCTTTCAAAACTGATGCTTCCAATCCTCTTTCCCGTTCACCACCAACCACCACTCCCATTCCTCCTTTTTTTCAACACGGATAACGTCATGTTTGGACCCTTATTTCTTAACCTTTTTGGCTCGATTTTGTTGCTCCTTGGCATATTTTACGCTAGGTTTTACTATTTTGTCATATTTCAGGTCCTAGCGGATGTACGAAGGCTTAGGCGCAAGTTTCGGGTCGTTTGGAGATCATTTGACGGTTGTGGGACAAAAGCACGGTTGTTCCTTATAAAAGCACGACCGTGCTTTTGATCAGCCTGGCCGCTTTTACAGACGAGAGCAAACCAAAAGGATACTAAAGAAAGACAAAATACGGGCAACCGAGGAGAAAAGCACGACCGTGCTTAGGAAAATACTGCCAATGCTTCACCCGTAATTCGCCCAGAATCGAGTTGAAAGAGGCATATTCGAGCCAAAGTAAGGGGATTCGACCTTTTGGAGCAAAAAAAGAGTTCTACAGAGAGAAAGTACGAAGAACAAACCCTTGGAGCTATTTTGGAGTGGATTTCTCATTATTGAAGCACAGATTGCATCCCTAGGAGTGAAGATTGACATCCCAGAGCAGATTATTGCCATCGTTATGAGTATGGTTGCTTTGATTTCTGATTTCCTCTCTCTCTCTCTCTCTCTCTCTCTCTCTCTATCTCTATGGAGTAGATCTTTCTGTCATTTGGGTATGAAGAACCCTAGTTCCATGTGTTAGGGATCTTGATTGTAATGACTTCTGGATTTATATACTGATTGATTTCAGTCGATTGAAGTTTGTTTATTGAGTCAATTGAATCTTGATCAACTTCTTTTGATTTCTGCTGCAACCTGAGATAGATAGAATCTGATTAGGTTGTTAGAGCTTCTTCAATCGATAGGAGTGAATTGATTGTACGAGAATTAGTCAATTCACTATTTTGTACTGGAATCTGTTTCCAGTAGTGGAGTTCTGTGTTAATTGCCTTTGCATTCTATCCTGGTGAAGACTAGTCATCTGCTGGTTAGTCTGTCTAAGAGGGCTTGGTCAGCTTAAGAGATTCCAAGCTACTGTCGGATCTTTCGCAGTTTAATCAACAATAAATCGACCAAAGGAAATTACAACTTGGACCTAACTAAGGAGCTAGGGGGACTCAATCCCTAGTGACTCTTCCCTTGCTTAAGAACTTCTAACAATTTATTGTTTTCTTTCTGTTTAGTTTGAATTCTCCTTCATTCACTTAGTCTCGCTAGATAATAGAAGTTCACGGAGTAGGCAGTAGATTTAGACACCGGGTTGATAAATTAAA